TGCCAAAAATAATTTGGGATGCCAAAAATAATTTGGGATGCCAAAATTAATTTGGGATGCCAAAATTAATTTGGGATGCCAAAATAAATTTGGGATGCCAAAAATAATTTGGGGTGCCAAAAATAATTTGGATTTGGGATTTGGAATTGGAATTTGGGATTTGGAATTTTGGCATTTGGATTTTGAATTTGGGTGGCAGGTATAATAAATATACCAAATGTCAAGAATATGCAAATGAATTGAAAATAATTAATAATAAATATTGAGATAAATTAGCAATAGATATAAATATTTAAAGAATTAACAGAAAAACAAAAACAACAAAAATAACAAAAAAAAGAAATTAAAGAATCATTAAATATAACACTCTTAAAAAAAGAAATAAAAATAGAAAAGAAAACAAAGAAGTAAAAGAAAGTAAATTCCAACAACAAATTAAAAAACTTAAAGAAGAGAATGAAGAACTAACACAATAAATGGAACAAGTAAAAGAAATTAATAAAGACTTTAAAAAACAAATAAAAAATGAACAAAAGGGATAACAGAAATTATAGGAAAAATTATTTATAGAGAAAAAAAAAGTGGAAGTACTTGTTCAACAGATAGAAAAGTATAAAGTAACTGAAAAATTAATTTGGAATAAAGAAATCTTATTATCTCATTGTTAGAATTTGAGAGATTGTGATATTGTATAGCAAATATCATTTGGTATTACAAAACTATGTATAAGAATGAAAGGATAACTAATAAAAAATTAGATAAAGATCTAAAAGAATATAAAAATTTATTTGAAGAATATAAAAAACAGAAAAAAAATAAAGAAGAAATAATAATAAATGATAAAGAATTTAATGAAATCACGAAAGCATTTGATGAAGTAATTAATAATAATTTATATACTAAAGAACTAAAATAAATACTATTTAAAGATTAGTATCATGTTGAATAACAATGTATAAGGTGAAAGTTCTGAAAAACTTATATAACCTTAAATATTCTACTTGGTCAAAAAAATAGAAAGAGCAATTATGACAATAATTAATAAACTAAAAATAATTGAATATACTATAACAATTCTATATGAACTTAACTCTTGGAAGATCTAAATAGCAAAAGAAAAAATTATACAAAAGAATTTTATAGATATTGATAAACACCTGAAAAATATATTGAAGAAATAGACATATTAATACAACATGCAACTCAAAGAGAAATACTTGAAAAAACTGAAATAAAATTAGAAATAAATGACTTAAAATACTAGAGAACAAAATATTATTAAAAGGAAAATAAATGGAGAATATTTTATTGTTTTAAGTCAATTACAAATGAAATATCAAAATTAATTGAACCATAAGAAATAACTAATTGAGAATTGAGAGATATTAAGTCAGTATTAAAAGAACCAGTTATTTAATTAGTTCAAAATATATTAATAAAGAAATAACAAGTAGAAATTTCAATAATAATTATTGATAGAATATGTGGAACAGAAAAAACTACTTTAGTAAAAGAATTCAAAGAATATTTAAAAAGAAAAGGGCTAAAGATGAGAGTATTAAATAAATTATTTATTATTGAGAACTCTTTTGAAAGATTAAAAGAATATGGAAAAAATCTGGAAAAATTTAAGAGACAAGAATTAGATTAAGAACAATTTCAAAAAGAAACTATAAAGTGGAAAAAATAGATAAAAGACAATTGAATAACTCAGATTTATATTTGTATAGTATATGAAAAAAAACCTAATGTAGTATTAATGGATTGAAATTTTATATCAACAAAATTCTTCATGAAAACAATGAAGAAAAAATGATATTTTGAAGAAGAAGATATAAAAGAAATTTGCAAAAATTACAAGTGTTAGGAAGGATTAATAAGAAAAACATTAGTAATTTTGTGGAACATTTCAATTGAAGAAACTATAAAAAACTGAGATTCAAAGAAAAACCTGAAGAAGAAGATATAAAATATTTTCAAACATTAGTAGAAACATATCAAAAGAATACTATAAAAATATATCCAAATGTAAAAGTAATCACTAAAGAGATTCTTATTTCAAAAGAAGAAATTAATAACTTTATAACCAATATTATTAATGAAAAGAAAATATATTTTCAAATTAGAGGATATTATAAATAAAATATCACCACAAAAGAAAAGAAAAGTAGAAGGAAAAATAAATAACCTGAATACAGTAAAAGTAATTAAAACCTGAACAAAAGAAATATTTAAAATTCAAAATAATAGAATTAAGGATGATAATTTAAAAAAAAAAGTAACACAGATATTGAAAGCTCAGAATATAATAATAATAATGACAAAAGCTCATCTTATAAAAGAAAATAAAAAAAAATTAAAACTAAAAAAATTATAAAAGATGGAGAAGTAGATTTATTTGAAGAAATAATAATATACAATTAAACATTACAATAGATAGCACAATTTAAAATGACAAAAAGGTTAGAGAATAATGTAATAAATAAAATGAAAAGATTATTATCTTTTAGATTTAATATAATATGATTTGTTATATATAGAGAAAAAAGAATAACACTAAAATAATAACTGAAACAGCAAACAGTGACATATTTGTATGTCATATAGAAGAATTACATACATTAAGAAATCAAATTGAAAATAAACATCTGAAGAAAGGAATAAAAATCACTGCAGTTACAAGAATATATATAGATAAAATAGAAGATGCTGAATTTGATAATTTAGGAAGAATTACTAAAGCACAACAAATTAAGAATGTGAATATACAAAGTTGAGAAATAACTATATATTAAAACAAGAACATTTTGTTTAAGTGAGAAGGAACTGTTACAGAATGAAATCATTATGATAAAAAATATATAGTATACAATTCTAGAAACATTGCAAATATTTAATAATAACATTAGATAATAGTAGTATTTAAAATTCAATTAATAAATATTAATTTATTTAGTAAATGGTGATATTTTAATAATATTTTATATTATTTATATTTAGTGACATATATTAATTAGTCATATGATAATAGTACAGGATTACAAGTTCACATGACATTTAATTATATAAACATAATTATTAATTCATAATATTAATTATTATTACATATTATTATTTAACAATAATTATTAACATCTAATATTAATTAGTATTAATATATTTAATAAGTAATATAGGTAAATAGTAACCAATAGAAATAGTGTACAGTAAGACACAGTAATAGCACAGTAATATAGATTACATAAAATACTTATAAAAAGAGTCAAAGTTCTATCTTGATTCTTTAGTTTACAATTTTATAATTTTGAATTTTGATAATTTATAACTTATTTGAAATTAATAAATTTAATTTTGCAATTTGTAACTTCAAGATAAGAACTTGTAAAAATTACCTTGCAATTGAATTAATAAAATAATAGATATTAAAAATATAAAGTAAAAGTTATAAAAGTAATTATTAAAAATATAATAATTAATAAGGGAATAATGGATATTATAGAATTAAATACTTGATTGTATAATTGTATAATATTATTATTTCTTGAATTAATAAAATTAAATACAAACTATTATTATAAATCCTGGAATTGAAATAATATTTAACCTTGATGAATTGGAGTAATACTTAAACTGAAAACAATTAATAAATAAATGTTAATACTAAAAATAATGATGAACTTGAAAGATATTGAAATAAATTAAATGAAAGATCTAATTCCCTTTCTAAAATAATTGAATCAGTGGTGTCTTCTAAACAACTGAACAATAGTCTTACTTTTGGGAAAGGATTATAAACTTCTTAAAAGAACCATTAAGTCACATTACTAGTTTGTCCTCAAGGAAACAAGGAACCACTGGTAACAGCATCTGCATATAACTGCATCAATCATCTCTGATAATGAAGAATCAAATGAAGAAATTGAAATTGACATATGGAATGAAATCAACAATGATGAAGAATTAAATTCTGAAAAACAGAGATTAACTCAATTAATTAAAGAATGAATAGAATTAGGAAACTGGGAGAATAAATTTGATGATGAAAATGATCAAATATTTTTATCAACAGAATGGAATAGTGATTTTAATTTAGGAGGCAGAGAAATACATCCAGCTGATGATGATACAGAAAAATGGAATTTAAATACTTTATTTGAATTATCTTTAAAATCTCCAGCATTTTTAGAATCAGATGAAATATTTACTAATGCATACTAATGATAAAGATAGAATTAAAAGTTTATTTTTTACATAATAAAGTTTAATAATAATAATTTAGTAATAATAATTTAACATTAATAATAATTTAGTAATAATAATTTAACATTAATAATAATTTAGTAATAATAATAATTTTAGTAATAATAATTTAGTAATAATAATTTTAATAATAATTTTAGTAATAATAAATTTACAACGAAATTATATCTATAAAATACTGCAATCTGATTGGTCAAAAAATATGACCGAGGTCATAAAAGTTTACACTTTATGAATGACCAAATGATCTATGTCAGGTCATAGAGGTCATAGAGGTCATAGGCCAACACTGGTGCCTCCAAAATTAAGGTAGGGTTAGGGTGAAATTAAAAGGATCAACATAGGCTGGTTTTATAATTCTGGTCAATGGGTGAC